ATTTGAAATGTATCTGACTTAAATGTGGAAAAGAACCAACGTAACATCAAGACTGATTATTTTGATGTTGTTGAAGATAAAATACAACTTTTATTTTCAGAGTTTTGTCATTTTAGGCAGCAAAAGAAAAAAGCTTTGCTCCTTTCACTGACTCATAATAAAAGTATGGGTTATTAACTATCATGTTTTCAGTGGTGCATTGTAAATTCATCCTGCAGTATACAAAGACACTGAAGCAGGGCAGCATCCTGACAGGAAGAGGATTATAGGCTGTTTAATTCCCCCAGGGATTGCTTCATAATTCAAATATAGGACATTAAACCGGTTACCTGGGAATAATGGAATTAGGAGGTGAATTATGTTGGATAAGTGTATGTAGGTCTAACAATTAGAATACATTTTGCTTTGGCTAAAGGAGAATATTTCTCAAATGACGAACATAGAAAGAGGCTGTGATGTTTGTTGAAGCCATGCGTGTGCTCTAGTGTTTACTCTGACATGAAAACATTAATAGAAATACAAGCAAAGTGGGCCGTCACTAAACACCTCAGAGTTAAAACATATCCCTGTGAGTCACTACTATTAGTCTGCTTTGTTTCTACTAGAGGACAAGATGTACAGTATAAATCATCAGCTGACATCGGGATAAATGTCTGGGAATCTTTGTGAGATTCATTCAAATTTGTAGCTAATTTTACAAAACATTTGCCTCAAACTGGCCTGTTGTATATCTATCTATTCACAATCATAACATTAAAAGTGGCCAAGCACAAAAAAGTTCACAGCTGGGATTTACTGTGCAGGGGACGAGTCTGTAAAGTCCACATTTATACTGGATCCCACTGGTGTTTACACCCAGATTAGCTGTTAGCACTCCACAGTCTGAGGAGGCATGAGAATCCAGAAGTGCCTCAGGAGCTGAGGAGGAGAGGAGGAGGGAGACCTGACGCAGTGAGCAGCGTCGTGACAAGAAGAGACGACGCGGACCTGTCCTCACGTCTGTGGTCATGGAATATGGATGAGTTAAAGGTGCTGACTGGACATCAGAGGGAATACTGGGACTGTTGCATGTTGGTTCACAGAGACGTGGATGAACTCTTCTCTGTACTTTCCTGTTGTGTCGTCTGAATAATGAAATTATATTAGTACTATATTTTGGGAATATAGTACTATCTAACCTAACAGCTAATGCTACTTTTGGGTCAAATCAGTTCATCAGGTTGTTTGTCAGAGGATCAGCTTAAAGGACCAAAGGCAGGTGAGCAAGAGACATTTACAATAGTCAAAGATATAATAAAATAAATAAAAAAGGGCTACTATGAAAAATATATATATATAACAATATATAATATACTGATTCCTACAAGAGCTGCTCATTATCAGGCTTCTGTTCTTGGCTGTAGACACAGGAAGTGCATTTTCAAATGTTTCTGGAAGTGCAGAACAAATCACAGGTTCAGTTTTCACAAAACTGTAGGAAGTCCTGCCCCTCCTGACAGCATCAGGAGCAGAGGCTGGCAGTGACCGTGCAACAGCAGCAGCAGCAGCAGCAGGAGGAGGAGGAGGAGGAGGAGGAGGAGACGAAGATCTTGTCCCACTTCTCCTATTAAGACTATTAGGTCTGTGATAGGATTTAACCTGAGCACAGATACAGTGACAGCAGGGAGGCCTGGTAAACTATAATCCATGGTGAAGGGGGCGGGGCTTCACTGATGCCTTTAAATCAAATCAGTAAATAAACAAATATGAAGTAAATATGAGTCGCCGTCTGCAGCTTGATTCTGACCCGGGCTGTTGTGAGTAGTCGCTGAGTTAACAGTTGAACTGCATGGACTGATGGATGACACCAGAGACACAGATGCTGTAGAAGCTTCTCCTGTGCTGCCCTCTGCCTGTGTTTTTGCTGCAGGATTTTAATCACTTGCAGTAATTAACAGAAGCAGTAGATGGTAGTAATGTTATCAAATAATGTTATCAAAAGTTTAATAACATCAGTTAAAGGAAAAGAGAAAAAAGAAGAAGTCAGACGGGGAGGGGACAACTATCTCAAAACTACTGCATTCCACACACTCTTATTATTATAAAATATAATTGTAAAAAGTAAAGTAAATATATTTGGAACATATAAAATCACAAATGGATTCCTAGTCCCTCTCTGATTGGGAGTTAAAAATAAAATAAAATAAATGACTGATTTGTTCCCAGAGTAGAACAGATCCTGCATGTGTTTCTTTTGAAGGCCCAGCGCATGAGCTCCTCAGACTGACAGGGAGTGGGTGTCTGCCAGTAAGAGAGTTAGCAGCCTCATTAATTTCATCTGTGCCATCTGAGCAGAGGGGATTTTTCTGCAGCTCAGCAATGTCCTGGTTCAGCCTCAGACTCATTTACCAGGCCAGGATGACTGCATAACACACGCTCGCACACACGCACGCACACACAAACGTGCACACGTGCTAAAAGGCAGAGAAGAAGGCAGGAAGAATCTCCATATTCCACCATTCCATACAAATCTTATTATGAATTATTATATTATTAAATGATCCACATGCTCTTGAAGAGTAGTGAAATATATTCTGCAGATACAGTGAGTCAGCATTTAGGAAATGACAAAGACTGAGTTCAAGTCCTAGTCCTTGACTTAAGCCACAGCCTCAGGTTATTTCTAGGGCTGGGGTTTAACGTTAGCGTTAATTCTGATTAATAAATTACAGAAAATTACTGAATAAATTATTTTAAAAATAAAATAAATAATAAATGATGCTACCATCATACTTTCCTTTTACACTCCACGCTACATGTGTAAAATAAAGCCATACGCTGGAAAGTAAAAATACACTCCTGTCATACAGATCACACCGCTGCACCAGATGTGTTGATCCAGAACACTCTGTGTGTGGGTAGCAGCAGCAGCAGCAGCAGCAGCAGCAGCAGCAGCAGCAGCAGCAGCAGCAGCAGGCGAGATTAAGACGGAAACATGGATGGAAAAGAGCAACAACTGTGTGCAACATCTCATCTCATCCAACAAAGAATTTGCATACGACTAAAGTAACTGGAGTCTCCACGACCGTCTCAGCAGAACCTGGATGGACCAGTGATCACTTTTGTCTTCTGACAAAATTCAGCTTTAACTTGTTTTATTATTTTGTTGCCATTTCTGTTTATATTTTTGAGATTATTATCTTGTAGATAATATTGTTTTTTCTGTTATTT